GTGTGTATATATATATATATACACATGCTGTATATTGTGCAAATGTACGTCTCTCTCTGTCTCTATCTCTATCTCTCTCTCTCTCTCGCTCTCTCTCTCTCTCTCTCTTCACTTCACTTCACTTCGGGGTCCAGAGGGCGTCTCAAGCCCCGCGCACCCTCTCTCTCGCGCACTCTCTCTCTGTTATTATTATTATTATTCTTCTTCTTCTTCTTATTATTGTTATTATTATCATCATCATCATCATAATTATTATCATCATTATCATCATCATCATCATCATCATTATTATTATTATTATTATATTTAATATGTATACATTACTTAATATAGAGAGAGAGACAGAGAGACAGACAGACAGAGGGCTCAAAAGTCAGCAGGGAAGAGGATAGCTGCCAGGCAACGGCGGCATCCAGCTCTTCGAGGCAGAGCACTTTGCCACAGCTCCGCCCCTGGGCTTCAAAAAAACTGCGAAGATCCTAGAACAGGCTTTCGCTTTTTTGAGAACTGCACCTTGGCTTCTATCAGCTTCTGCGCCGAAGAGCTGCTGCCTTGTTCACCTTCGAACATTTCGCAAGTGACAAGCTGAGGTCTGCGACGCTGCGATCCGTTACGGAGCACATCTGAAGGCGAACTTCGAGGCCCCCGCAGGCCAGCCAAAAGAGCCTCTCTGATGGGATGCTACGCCATATGGCAGATGCCATGTCGGCTTGACTGGCTTGATCTCAGACTGCAGAGCGAGCGTCTTCAACTGCAAAATCGTCCGCAAACCAGACCGAACCACGACCGCCCATGGCAGCAGACCTGAAACCTGCTCCTGCAGTGACGCTCTTTTGCAGCCGCAGGCAATCGATTCCATCAGCCTGTAGCAAGAGCTGCTTGCAACTCTCCAATGCCGTCGAGGACTCCTCTCACTCACGCTGAAGCATGACTGCTCTTACTAGAAGTGCCGGCATTAGCACAAGACAGACGTCGCTGGTCGATCTCTGCGACTCTCCTTGAAGCGACTCATCTTGTGGCCTGACCCCCGTCAGCGCTTCGAGATATCTCGCAGCCTGCTGTCATCACACATGCTCGAAGTTCAGGGCCCAAGATCTCCTTGCAGAGGCGGCCTTGATGGCATCTCCTGTTGCACGGAGGTCGTCCACATCCCCGGAGATCAGATCTCCTTTTTTCATCTTTTCTGAAAGCAGATGGATCGAGTTCTGAAAAGGAAAAGGAAAGCTTCCTACTTCCCGGCAAGGTTCTCAAAAGCTCTCGTACTGCCCGAAGGATGCGCGAATGATTTGCGCACGAAGGCAAGTCTGGAAATCGGCCCAAGTGGCAAGCACGTACCAGTGGCAGCAGAGAGAGCTCTGCGCCTGCTGCTAATAGCTGCATTGAAAGAGGGAGGCGTGTCATGGATGTGTTTATTGGGTGCCGTGGATACACCAGGGAGCCTTGTTCGGCATAGGGCTTGCCGGCGCCAGTCATCGAGCCGCTGTGTTTGATGTACCTCTGCCACGATGCACCGAAGATTCGCAAAGTGATCTGTTCCAGGTATCTGCTCTGCAGCTCGGGCACAGGAAGGGCAACTCCTCCGCAGAGATCGGCAGGATCCCAAGCCTGTCATAGCAAAAGTTTGCTTTTAGATGCTGCGCTCTGGCGTTCTTTACCCATTGAAGACCGAATCAACCCAGTTGAAAAGGCAAGGCCGCGCACCTTCCCGGATGCTTGACACCCGTCGGCCCACGCAGAAGACCGAGACCCTCATTCAAGCTTCCGGCAGCGAAGCGGCGCCCTGCCTGTGAATGTCAAGCCCTTGCCATAGACTGCCCCTCAACACAGAAAGAGACTGGTTGCAACTGAGCGGCCTCAAACCACCGCCGACGGAAGCACAACGTATTCTCCAAGGGGAGAAATTGCATGTCCTCACCTCAAAACAGCTCAATCCAAGATCATGCAGAGGCGGCACGTGCCCATGCTTCAGCCGAAAGACACCCGCGCAGAACATCTTCGTTCGGCCAGTAGAAGAAGCGCCTCTCAATTGCCACCTGCAGCAGACTATGTTTCAGTTTACCCATATGCATGGCAAGCAAGCACAATCTACAAGTCCCAGAGCGACATGCAAGAATGCAAGGGAGCCACACAATTGCAGCGCCGGTTGCCACTCAAGAACTCTGCTTGCAACCGCACGCGGTCTACAGTGTAAATGTCATCGTCGTCCCAAGTGCAGATGAATTCTGCGCCGGTAGATTCGGCCGCAAGGTTCCTCTTCTCTCCGATGGTGAGTCTCTTGGAAAGAAAACCTCAAAGTATGTCTGAATGAAGGACTCACACAGGACACAGGAAGTGGGAGCGCAGAGCTACCAAATAAAGTTGCAGTTCCGGCACGGTACTGGATGTCATGGCGCGAGTTTGCTGCGAAGCGGAGGACATCCTTCTCACTGCTGGCATCACTATCATCAAGGATCAACACCTGGAAGGAGCGAAAAAGCACATGGGTAGTTTTCAATATTAGGGTCCCTTTTAGGGTCTTTTTATAAGGGTGCCGTACTATATTGGGGACCTCAACAGGGCCCTGATTTAGAGAACTACCCACATGGCAGTTGCAAGAGGTTCGTTCATCTTCGTTCCATCTCCGCGGCCTCGAGGGGTGTAGGATAGTCTTGGGCTTCGATCTGAAGAAGTGCTTCCAACAGGAGGGACGGCCGATTGTAGGTCACAACCTGCTCTGAAAGCAGAACACAAGAGGGCGAGGAAAGGCACACCGGAGCCTGTCTCCCCCTACCCGCGTGACATCGGCCAACGACACTCACCGAGGCCACCACCTGCACACTGACCTTGGGTACACACGAACAGAAAGCTGCAGCACAGAGGAGCGCTTCTTCGAGCATATCCACGGAAGAGACAAAAACAGGGCAAGTGTCGGAAGGAAAAGACCCAGCGTTGCTTCTTGGAGCACAAGCAAAGCACGGCGATCGTGACCAAGAAATTCCCGCACCTGAGTCGGAAAGGATGTCAGGTAGATGCACCGTCGCAGAAGGTTTCCGGTAGTTTTGCACAAGTCGACTAGAAACGGGGTGCCACTGCGCTCGGGGCTCCGAGAAAAACCAGACCAAGACCGAGTCCGTGCCGGCCTGGCCTGAACTCAATCGGACCCGCCAAGGGCATCCGAGCGAAGTGGCGAAGAGGCACAGGGCCGGGGGCTCAGAGCCAAGAGGGAAGCGATTGAAGCACTTGAATTGAATTGAATACAAGCTCAAGGCCAAGCCATGCCCCTACCATCCCCTGCTCCTGCCCCCAGCCTTCTCAACTATGGCACCGTCATGGTGAACTGAAGCACAGAGGGCCTGCAACGTGCCTGGGATGAAGACAAGACTTCGTAGCTCGGGTGTCCGGCAGACAAGGTCTCCAACTTCAGACGCTTCTGAGAATCTCGCGGGCTGGGTCTCGCGTGCTGAACTACACGATGCCCTCGCAGGCACTGGTGAAGCAAGGCACTGTGGAAAGCGTCTCTCTGCAATGAGCCACTGCAACCAACTCCAGCATCTCCGAGCTCTCTTCCCGCACAGCATCGTATGTATGGCCTCCGCAGCCATCGAGCTGAGAGCACCTGCGTCCGGGTTGTGCGCCACGGAAGCGTCAGGGCGTCAAGCAGTGCTCGGAGGCTTTTCCCCTCTGGCTCAGCTCTGGATACTGCTTTGCCAGTTGTCTGTGATGAACTGCAGCAGCCTGGACAAAGGGCATCGGAACTTACAAGATCCTTCCAGCCCGAAAAAGGGCTGACCCCCTGCCTTGTCACCCAACTTTTGCAGCGATTCGGCCATCCCCAAATAAATTTTGCGGCTTGGATGCCTCACAACCAAGCTTTGCATGCACTCCATGACAGCCATCTTTCAATCACTCCAGTAGCCCTCTGCCTTGCACCCGAGACACAAGGCCAGGGCGGCCTTGTACGCGTCCAAGGCCACGGTTGCATCGCCCCCCTTTCCACCGGAAGGAAGCTTGCAAGACATGAAAGACACAACTTTTGCCAGCGTCCTTCTACACGGAACCCTCCGGAACCACACAGAGGACCCATATATATATATATATAGATATAGATATTGGCTGGTGCCGCGCCCCTGTAATAGTGAGCACAAATAGAAGCACAAGAAAAAACACCAGGCAAAATAAAAAATTATGGTCTGGGTGTGATCATAGTCGGTTTTGAAACAAGCCTGGTGTTTCGGGTTTATAATGGAGCCTCTCCTAGAAAGATGGGGTCCGAACAACTAATCCCACCGAATCCATTTCTGAATCCCACTATACGAACATAGTACTCCCCCTGATCTGCAGACCCTACTTGTAAGACTCGGGACCAACATCGTTTACTCCATACTTTGAGCGGCCACACTAAGAACTGGCCGGGATCCCGGCCGGCCGGACCGGGTCCGGCTCTCTCATGTTTAGTACTGGGCCGGGGTCCTGGCCCACAGGACCGGGTCCGGTTCCCTCATGTTTAGTACCGAGCAGGACCGGACCGGGTCCGGCTCTCTCATGTTTGGGGGTCCGGCTCCCTCCTATTTAGTATTGGGCCGGGGTCCTGGCCGACCCCACCCGGTCCGGCTCTCTCATATTTAGTACTGGGCGGGGGTCCTGGCCAGCCAGACCTGTTCTGGGGTCCTGACCCGGGCCTGACCTGGCTACGTTTGTGCTTTTCTGGTGCTCGAAGTTATGAGTTTGTGCTTTTCCTATTGCTTTTTCTGGTGCTTTTGCTTCTGCTTATGTTTGGGAGCTTCCGATCAAGTTCGTACAAGTCTGACGCCATTCCTCCGCGCTTTTTTCTACAATAGGATCGACGAGCACCAGAAAAAGCACAAGCTCCTAAACATGAGCAGAAGCAAAAGCACCAGAAAAAGCACGATAAAGCACCAGAAAAAGCATTAGAAAAAACACAAACTCCAAAACTAGCCCGCAAAAAAGCGCAAGAAAAAACACAATTTCAACCGGAGAAACTATGTCATAGGAAACACCAGCGAAAAAGCACAAGACTTGTGCTTTTTTCATAAGTTCGAGCACCAGGATTCCCAAACAGGAGCAGAAGCAAAAGCACGAGAAATAGCACCAGAAAAAGCACATCTTTCTGCGAAATTTGCGCTCGTATTCCGTTATGCTGGTGCTTTTGCTTCTGCTCATGTTTGGGAGTTTGTGCTTTTTCCTGTGCTATTTCTGGTGCTTTTGCTTCTGCTCCTGATTGGGAATCCTGGTGCCCGAGATGATGTTTGCAGGGACTGCACCAGCCCGCGAGGTACCGCTCGCGTAGTATAGGCACTGGCAGTAACAGTGGAAGCGGTCATGTAAGCTGGCTGCAGTGTATTCATAGGCTCCGTGGGTTCATACGAGGCTAAACGTGCAGTGAACTTTGGGTTTTGTGACACGGTATGTGTGTTAGATAACCGAACTCTTTCTCGTCGGTCACATGGGAATCCACTCTGATTCGATGCCTCGGGACACATATCCAGCCCAACCAAATGGAGCTGGTTTGTAGGTGTGGATGCAGGAATCTATGCCTTCCATCCTTAATTAATAGCTGAGTGAAGGGCCCCCGGTCCCTAGAGTGGGTCGGCTATGAGTTTGATGGGGAGCTCCCGAGCTCCAAACTGACTCGGCTCTGAGTTTGATGGGTGGCTCCCGGGCCTCGTTTGCATGTGCTTCTTTTCGGCTGTGTGTTTTGTTTTAAACCTAGTTTTGAACCATTACAGGAGCGTGGCTCGCTCCAATATATATTTTTTTTTCTTCTGGAAGGCTCAAAGTCGAAGCGACGTGCCTAATGCATGTTGAATTCCAGGGTGAAACAGGAAAGCCCTGCGTTGCCGAGCTGTGCAGCTGCTTGCGAGGCCCACGAGGTTAGGGGCTCGAAATGGTGTGAAGAGAGAGGCACCCGCAGGCGCGACGGTCTCCCAGAAAGTGCGGTGCGGAACAAGCAGCAGAAAACTCGTAGGAGATCCGAGGCCCACGCGCAGTATTTACGCATGGCCTGCAAGGATCCAAGGGCTGGCAAGAGCAGGGGAAAGTGGTCATCTGGTGGAGCAGGGAAATCCACAGAGACGGCGTAACACCGGAGCGCAGAGAAGGGGACATCTGCCAAAGTCATAGGCACAAGAGTCACACCCTCAAGCTTCCAACGCTGACGCCACGTTGTGTCAACCCTCCCGAAATGCAGGGCATGTGCCGCAGGAGCGGGGCATCGCAGAAGCGGGCAACGGAGGCAGGGGCTAAATGACGGCACGGGCGCAAGAACCTCAAGTTGTTTGCCTGCAAGACGCGTGCAGAGGTGCTCAGGAGTAAGCACCAGCAGGACATCAGCAGCCATTTGTCGAATACCGCCGTTCTGCAGCTCCCGCATCCACCCCGTCACAGTGTGGCGCAAGACAGGAAGGGGGGCAATATGGGACACGACCTCATCATAGATTTCCTGATCGGAGTTGAAGACAGTGCTTTGCAAGGCCAATCGCAATGGTCGACAGAACTCCTCCTCCTCAGGTGGGAGGTGTGCACAGCCCCAGCCTTGGACAGCGGGGGCTTGCAGGTGACCACTACCAGGCATGGTCGCGCCTTCGGGAGAATCTTGTGATTCAAGAAACTGCAAGCACCGCCTGGAGGCGAAAAGGTGGCATCGAAGGCGCCCCTGTGTGGCGTACAGTGAACCACACGCACGAGACTGGCGTCCTGTTGCCAAGCGGGTGGCTGGGTGGCGATAGCCGTGGACCCTCTGCGAGTGTGCACCCCATTGCTGCCTAGAGGCAAAGGCGAGCCCACAGATGAGACAGCCGTGTTGCAAGTTTGATAAATCAGAGGGCGACGCGGGGGCGAGCGGTTCCCAGACCTGCCTAACAATATAGTCAAATCTGGCCTGGAGATCGTGCCGGCAACCGTACCAGGCCTCCGCACGCTTGAGAAGGCCTTTCCATTTTCCAGGACTATCACGCATGAGGGACGCCCATCGCTCCCAGTTGTGTTCAATGGGGCCAAGGGTGGCTGCCGTGCCGCCAGTCTGCATGAGCCAGGCACCGGCAGATCTGACAGCACGTTGGTAATCTGTGTACCAACCGAGCAAGGCCCATAGCTCATCCGGGCCATGTCGGACAAGCTGGCCTAGGAATCGAAGCCTCTCAACGTGAAGAATAGTGTCCGCTGCCGGCAACCCAGTAGATGCAAGGATCTGGGAGACAGTGAGATTCCAATTCCCCTGGGCCCTGAGTCCCATGAGTTGGCGGTACAGGCCTAAAAGACCGCCAGAAAAGAGAATCCAATCGCACTCGCCTAGAGCAGGCCAGCTCCCAATCCCTGCAGTGAGGGTCGACAGGACATGGGTTTTGAAAAAGATAGCACGCCGGCTCAGGGGAACGTCCTTGCACGCGAACAAACGGCGGCGCCCATCTCTGAACGCATTGCGAGCAAGGGCCAGTCGATGTTTGACATCCGCACGCAAAGAGCCGTCGTAGGCCACAACCGCCCCGAGGTGACGATATCGAGCTACCAAGTCCAACCACATGAGGCCTTTTCCCTCAGGCAGAATCGGTGCTCGACCCTTCAGCACTCCGAAGGACTCGTGTCTGGCCGCACGTGACCCCACCCCAGTATGAGCCATGATCGCGGCTGTCTTAGTGGGGCCTAAGTTGACGCGGAGGGCATGCGGGGTGAGTGTGTCGAACGTGTCTGCCGCAACTGCAGAGACCACGCTCCTGAGATTGGATGCCTTATCACAGACGACCGGGATGCAGAGGTCGTCTGCGTACACGATGTCAGGAATGTCTTTCGCTGAGGAGCTTCCCTCAAGATGTCGGGGAAAAGGGGAGCGATGACCGCCCCAGGGCACAGAGGGAACTGCAGAGCGGAGGGAACTGGACTTTCGTCTGCGCAGCGCCTGCCCAAACAACAGATTAAACATGATGTCTGCAAGTGTTCCACCCGGGCGGGTGCCACGGAATGTTGAAATCAAATGCGTATCGCCGTGCAGCACGAACCATGTCTGTTGGTGGAACTCCTGGGCAAGCTCGCGCATGAGCACGGGGGCATCCTGCTGCTGAAGTATGGCCTCATTTTCTATCAAGTGCGTGAGTGCTTGGAGATCATCCCGGTCAAGACCCAGCGCCTCCGCTATTTCGTGCACCGGGCGCGAGGAAAGATCCTTGCCAAACAGCGTCTCCCTGATCACCGCATAGTACGCGGCAGACAGGTCAATGAAGATGAGCGCTGCTGACAGCCCGGTCCTCCTTGCAAAGTGCAGCATTGCGCGTGAGCACAAGTGGCCAAAAGAAGCACTGCAGCCTGATCTGCCCCCGATCTGGAGCGGAAGTGCGGTCTTCTGCCAGTGCTGCACCACCAGACCTCTCAGGGATCGGTGAAAGGCCTTTGCTACAGCCGATTGCACGAGGATTCCTCGGTGAGCATCGCAGGTATGGGGAGACTTGGGATTAGGTTTCCCAATGTGGTGCAGAGTGCCTCCCTTGAGTCCGGCTGCTTCGGCCGCCCCACACACCGTTTTGAGAAGGAGTGGCCAAAGAAGAGTAGTAAGTTGAGGGCTGAA